AAAAGAATCAAAATCCTCAGTAGTTATACTGTCTAGAGTTAACCAATGAAAACATTGAAACATATCCCGGCCTTTTTTCTATGCACAAACTTACGTTTTTCCCTTCAAAAAATTTAGATCGCACAATCAGTACAGTTTTGTGACTTGCTTTTTGAAAAGTTAACACTGGGCAGGGCTCAGTGGCTCAGCCTGTAATCCCGTGCCTTTGGGAGGCTGAGGTGAGTGGATTGCCTGAGCCCGCGGGTTCGAGACCTGCCTGGGCAACTTGGTGAGACCTCATCTCTACAATAAATCAAAAAAATCAGCTGGACGTGGTAGCATGCGCCTGTAATTCCGGCTACTCGGAAGGCTGAGGTGGAAGGATCGCCGGAACCCAGCAGGTCGAGGCTGCGATGGCCGGGTGCAGCCACTGCACTCCAGTCTGGGTGACAGAGAGAGACTCCAACTCAAAAAAAAAAGAAAAAGAAAAGAAAAGGTAACACTGAATTATCAACATATGAAGACTTGCCTGGTTTTCCATTATGTGAAAGGATCATAGTTTATCTTTTGTTGGATCTGTAGGTGGTCCTGAATTGTCAAGAATATATTATTATCCATGTCTTTATTATCAGTAGTATATGGATGATATTTCCTTTGCAGCAACACTCTTCCTACATCTACATTGCTGACTACATGATTAACGCTTCTCCCAAGCTAGGCTGTGGAGCAAACTCTTTTCAAGAGATGGGGAGGAGAGTGATTACCAGGGCCTGGACAGTGTCCTGGTGTTCCGCTGAGATGCCAGGGCACTGGGCGTCCTCAGAGAAGGACTCAGTGTCTTTTTCTGCCTGGTGACCACATACCGTTTGCAAGGGAGAGAGGAGGAATGTGTACCACAGAACTGGTCATTTTAAATTTGCACACTCCTAAAGCAGGCTCGGCTGTCCTGTGCGATTGCACTGAACATGCTCATTCCCATCTACACAGAGCAGTGCCTTGACTGGGTTAAGAGATCCCCAGCGTAATGCTGTAACTCCAAATCTAAGAGGGCTTGCACGTAAGGTTCTTAATTTTTTCCAAAGAAGTCATGCGGAGGTCCAGCAGGGAGAGACATTGGTTTATTAGAACTCTCAGGAGGCACCGATGGTGGCTGGTCGGGTGAAGAAAGAATCTGCTCAGGAGGTATCCAGGGCAGGCGGTCAGCGAAGAAAGAATCCCTAACGGGGGCAGTTTATAGTCAAGCAAGTTCATTACTCAACTTGCTACATGGTTACGATCACAGTGAGTAAGGGGGTTGCCCACATCGTTCTCAGCTCTGCTCCATCACCTGCATCCCATAACTCTTTCCTGGGAATATGCATATCTCGCAGAGACCAGCGTTGAGCAGAGGCTTTTTCCTTAAGGGGGAGCAGGAAGAAGCCAGGTATAGGGGAAAAAGAATCAATGTCTGGACAATCACCTCACACCTGGGAACACACCTAGTCAGTGATAGGAAATGCATACATGTGATACTTGTGAGGCAAGAGAAACATTCATTCATCCTTGAACCAACACTATCTATTAATAGTAAACAGATCGCAAATCCCACCAAGGAGGCATAGCGCTTGCTTTGCTCACCATTGGATCCTCAGTGCCTACACTGCCTGGAGCACACTAGATCATCAATATGTATTTGATTAGAAAAGAAAAAATATAACTGCCGATTTGGTTTGGGTCCTGCTTTCTTCTTAGAGGAACTGGGCCATGTAGGTGTGCGTATTCCTTCAATCTTGCTGCACAATTTTGGGAGCGGTGGCACAAAAATCTGTATCTGACCGGGGACTATTGTACGGAAATGCTGTTTTTATTTTATTTAGCTACAGAATGCTTAGGCCTTCAGTTCGATGCTTTATTTCCCCAGGAAGTGAACCCTGAGGGAAAGAATTGTTTCCCAAGGAATCTGCATGGACCAAAAGACCCCTGTTCCTTTTAAGGGTCAACAAACCACCCTGGAATCTTCCCTAGCGGATGCTGTTATATTAGAACTTTTAGAAACATTTAGAACCTCAAAAGACTAGACTGCTGTGATGGATAGTCACATGTTTCTCTGACTAGTTCTGTTTCCAGGAATAGCCTCAACGAATAAAAATAGCCCAATACTTACTGAGAACATCCGAAGTGTCAACTATGTACTGGTATTGGAAATAAAAAGGACAATAAGAGGCTCATATAGATCCCGATGAACATGTCATTGTTATGCCGTGTCGTAATGTTGCGAATTTTTCAGGTTAGCCTGGGCTTCAAGAGTGTCAGCTCAAGGGATCAGCTAGCCAAGCCCCAGAGAGGGTCATTGAGGGGCTGATGAACCTAGCCCCACAAGTATCAGCTCTAATGGGCTGGCAAGCCAAGCCCTGAGTGTTGCGTCGGAGGGGGAGGGGGGGTGCTGGCAAGCCTAGACCCAGGGTGTTGGTTCTAATGGGCTGGCAAGCCAAACCCTGAGAGTGTTGCCGGTTCGGTGGCATGGCAAGCCTAGCCCTCTGGGGTGCATGGCTTTTCGACTCCGATGATCTCCTGCAGCTTTTCAGGTTGCAGCTCTTCAGGGTGGAGGTTCTTATCTCATGCCCAGGAAGAATGAGGAACATAGACAGCTTGAAAGTGAGAAAGAAGGATTTATTGAGGACAGAAAAGCTCCCACAGCAGAGGTGGCCCCAAAGGGTTGCCCAACTGGGGCAGAAAACCTGGTGCTTTTATAGCCCTAAGTCCAAGCTGATTGGCTAGCACTGGCTGGGAGCTGTAGCTGTTCTGATTGACCAGTATTAAGGTCGTGACCTAATAGTGAGCTGATTGGTTGCTTTTCAATTCTAGCAGTGAGTACCTTAGCTCTAGCTGGAGAGACTTGCAGGGAGTTGTTTACCAATGCTGAGCCTGAGAGGCCTGCCAGGAGCTCGCTACATTGTTACCAGAGGACGCACCTGCCTGTCTGCCTAACCTTTTTCTAGTTATCTCCTGTCTCAGTAAGTGACATAGCTGGGCCTTGACAGAGTGCTATAGGAATAGAGGAGGGAGCGACTGCTAATTCATATCGGTGAAGATGGGAAAGTTTCCTGGAGGTGGGCCTGATGGGTAGGAATTTGTCAGGCAGAGAAAGTGGTGACGGGAGTTCAAAACAAAACAAAGGGAGTTAGACGAGCCAAAGCTCAGAGGGGCCTAGTGCGTTTGGGACAGGTGAGGCCTTCCCGGTCGCTAGGTCATGGAGTATTTGCAGAGGAGATGAGATGGTCGAGGTAGACTCCAGAGGCCTCAGCGAGGAGCCAGCTGTGGAGTTTGTAATTTGTTGTGTAGTCAACGAGGGTTTTGGGAAGGAACATTTTTCTTTCAACCACTCATATCATCAAGCCAAATTAAGATGCTTCTTTCTGATGATGGGTCTAGACTTTTTTTATTTGCGTTTTAGGCATTGTTACATCCTCTTTTAATTCCAGTGGCACAGTGGTCCAAGCCTAACTTAATTTTTCAGTTTCACCTCTTGTTCACTTATTTCTTCTTCTTCTTCTTTTTTGTATTGAAGAGGTTTTCAAAGCCGCTTTATTTGTCTGTGGGCAGCTGTTTGTTCAGAATTCAAGGCTGGGTCCAGCGATTTGCCTATTCCTAACATGTAGCTGAGACTGTTTATGAACTGAGTTCACAAAAAGGCCTCTTTAAAATCATTGGGTGACCATTTTAACCATATCAATTCTTCCATGAACACGGGATGTTCTTCCATTTGTTTGCATTGTCTGTGATTCCTTTCATCAGTGTTTTGTAGTTTTCCTTGTAGAGATCTGTCACCTCCTTAGTTTGGTGCATTCCTAGCTTTTATTTTTGGGGGCTAGGGATCTACTCGAAGGAAAAGAAATCAATACATAAAAAATATACCTGTACTCGTATGTTCATTGCAGCACTATTCACAGTAGCAAAATCATAGAATCAACCTAAGTGCCCACCCACAACTGACTGGATAAAGAAAATGTGATGCCCCGCGGAATACCACACAGTCATGAAAAAGAATGAAATCTGTCCTTTGCAGCAACATGGAGCTGGGGAGCATTAACCTAAGTGAACTAACTCAGGAACAGAAAACCAAATACAACACGTTCTCACTCATATGTGAGCTAAATGATTATGAAGATGGAAATAATAGACACTGGGGACATCAATAAGGGAGAAGGAAGAGAAAAGGGGTCTGGGCTCAGAAGTTACCTATGGAGCACAACGTTCACCACCTGGGTAATGGGCCACCTGAGACCCAATCCTCACCTCTCTACAATATGTCCATGTACCAAGCATGCATGTGTACCCCCGAAATCTAAAATAAAAATGGATAAAATCATGGGTGGTCAGGAAATAAACACATGAAACCAAAATATACACTGCTATTGTTGAGTCACAATGGTAGTGTAGAGAGGCGCTCATTCCCTCAAAACCCTTAGAAAATTCCACTGCATGCTTTTTGGAACGTTTTAGCCAACTTAGGGCTAGAGTGAGATGCAGAAAAGGGCATATGAAATTGAAGACATTGGTATCACTGTAGTTACCAAGCAGAGATTTCTAAAAGTAACATTTTAGAGCACTGTCATAACCATGTGCAAATTGCTATCAGATAGATACTCTAAATTCATTTTGTAAAATGATTTGTGAGCTTGCCTATAATTTATTCACTAAAATATACTTTAGTTTTTTCATTGAAATATGCAAATGTGTGTTGGTTTTGAATTGACTATTCCCAGAAGGACAAGAAGGTCAGTTACTGATACCTGTGTTTGTTCTCCCTTGGGTGATTCTATCTGTACTCATTTAACTTGCACTTGAAGTTATCATTTTTGTAGTTCTGATGTCCATTTGAATGTAAGGATTCAAATGTCTGCATTGGTATGTCCTCTGTCATTCATTTCTCTTTGGCAGTATTTTGCAAAATAATATCACTTTGTGGAAAGTGGAATGAATGGCATGGGTAGCACAGTTAGTGAAGTTAAAAAACCATAACTGATTTTCCTCTTTTCTAGGTGACAATGGCCAACATTGGAATAAATGGAAATCATTCTCTTGAAACCTGTGAGACAACACTTTTTGCGCTCCGCATGGCAACCTGGAATCAAATCTTGGATCCCTGGGTGTATATTCTTCTACGGAAAGCTGTCCTTAAGAATCTCTACAAGCTTGCTAGACGCTGTTGTGGAGTGCATGTCATCAGCCTGCATATTTGGGAGCTTAGCTCCATTAAAAATTCCTTGAAGGTTGCTGCGATTTCAGAATCACCAGTTGCAGAGAAAATAAATCAGCAAGCACCTAGTTTCACAGGGCATTAAGTCAGTGTAGGGCTAGGACAAAACTAAGAAATGTGTGGCAAGGTTTCGGTTCATTAGATACATACATATAGCCTAACTGGAAGATTCAGACCTCATCATGTAGTTTGGGGGAGACTTCTGTCAGATTCAGCTTTTGAAATTTGTCACATTAACAGTGTGATTGTACATTTTTCACTTGTATTTGTCAACGGGAGGTAGACACAATGAAGTAATGCCCTGGGGGGGGGGCGGGGTTGGTCAAACTGAAAGCCATTTTGAGCTTCTCTGTGTTATTCATGCTCTGAGTGATTCTTTTGAGGCCTAATGCACTTACTTGGCCTATTTGCCAGAGAACATCTGAACACTATTTGCACAGTGAAATGACTGTTTTGGGATGACTGCTCCATAGCTGTTTCTCATACATGAGGTTCAATGAAATGGAGCACCCTCATTTTTTGGTCTGGTCTGTTTTACTGCCCATTATGTAGCCTCAATTAATACATGCATGGCCATGATGCCAGGGATTCATGGTGGCTTTATGCTAATGACTCTGCATGGGCTAGGTCTGGCTGATGGATTGCCTGATCTCATGAAGCCTGTTGAGAATGGGCCCATTCTTGCCTCATGAGACCAATAGGACGGCTGGCATTCATTATTATGAAGGTCAATTGCTGTTTGAAGGGTTTTTATTGATAATTCATAGATTTGCAGTTTTCAAATACTCCCTTTTTCCTCTGAAAACTTAGTGCACTGATGCACAATAAATAATTTTTAGAGAAACAAAGGCTCTATCTCAGCACGTATACAGGCAACGTGCATTATGGCAGTTTCTAAGAAGCTCCATCATGGAAAATGCAAACAAACAGAACCTCAACCCCAGTGATGGGTGCAACGAACATTGGGAAAAGGTGTTTGGTCTTGAGGCATCATTTGTGTCAGAGAGCAAAATATACACAACCAGTAGGTAATATTCAAAGACTATCTGCAGCCAGTGTGTTTCTGCTTTACACACACACACACACACACACACACACACACACACACACACACACGCTGATGGCAGGTTCATTAGAACTTTGGGAAAAGGTGTTTGGTCTTGAGGCATCATTTGTGTCAGAGGGCAAGAGAAACACAATCAATCGATAATATTCAGAGGTTGTCTGCAGCCAGTGCTTACACATACACACGCATGCACGCTCGCACACATGGACATCAGAAAATTCTTTTGATGGCAGTTTCATGAAATCTGTCAGATGGCATTTTCTTAAGCCTGCACTACCAGCAACAAGGCAGGGAAGATTGGCAGTTGGCCAGGCATTTGGGAATCATTATAATGGTCATCCAGGAGATCAAGGGATAATAATCTCTCTCCAGAATTCCCAATCGTAATTCAAATTTTTAATTTGCTTGTTTGTAGAATTCAACACAACGATTTTAGCATTCATTCGAATTGTCCTAGGTTCAACAGAGAATAGAGTACGTAGTTCTTTACAATAGAGAAATCCATGTCTATAAGATAGTTCTTCCATTTCTATAAAGTAGTAGCTTCTATTAACTTAGACCTCTTTAAAAATTAATCTTCTCTGCTTGACTGATTTCAGATTCTCTAGGAAGTCTGTGCAATTCCACTAGACTTAAATTATTGTGTCCATAAATTTCTATTTTTGGTTGGTGATTTACATTGGAAGTCATTGCTAATTTTTGTGAATTTTGGTAAATTCTCATGAGTATATTAAAGGGAATTAAGCGAATATCCTCACGGAGCATTTACAAAGAATCATTATTCAGTGAGTTTAAAGAAGAGAAAAGCATTTACACTTGCACATGATGTTCTTAATTTAATGCCAGTCAATGATTAATAACACAAATTTAGGTTATTCTCATATACTCGTATAGAGCACATAGTAGATGCTTGATAAATACTTGCCAGATTGAATTATAGGCAAGAGTTTCTTGGTGCAAAATGAACATGAGATTACAAAGTTTTGTGTATTTTTAATTTAAACGGACAGTTGTTGGTTACTGTGGTATATATGAATATATGTATGTATATATGCATATGTCTGTGTGTATATATCTCCAATGCATATGCTTTAAAAAAAGCCATTGCAATTTTTGATTACTGTTACATTACATTAATGCTCTCATGTGTTTCAAGAGCATTAAGCCCAGAAGAATCTTCAGATGGTTCACTTCCTGTAAGAGCAGATATTTATTTCATACAGCTACTTAAGATTGCTGGTGCCCTGTGAACTGAGGCATGAGGAACCAAATGTCGGTTATCCTTATCATACTGGGTAGGCAACAGTGAACCTCTCCATGTATTTCAACTGGGGGGACCCAAGGAGAAAAAAATGCTCATAGGGGCACCAGGCCTCTTGTCCTTGAGGCTTCTAAACAAATGGCAAAATTCTTGCACCACTGCCATGATCTTATGCTCACATGTATCTGCCTTGAGGAGATCTTATGACATGGCCATGTGTGGGAACACGTGAACATGCTTGGCTTTGGGGAGCGAGAGGAGAGTCACCCTGTGCATAACCTACAAGTGTTCTCTATGTCATCTGAGCATAGGTTTGGGGCCTCCATATTGGTCTCTAAATGATGTTAAACCCAAGAGGTAGACATCAAAAATTGAAGGAAAAAGAAAAATCTGTCAAGGAATATGTGTTTGCCTTGTTTTAGGTTTTTATTCCAAGGGAAATAAAATTAAAGAAAGTGAACACAACAATGTGCATATCTGACTTTGGAATTTTATCTCTGTTATTACATATGTTGCATGTAGCTTGGCAATTTACTGAATGATGCATAACTGAGTGGTGCATCCACCCATAACTTTCATATAAATGTTCAAAGTCAGAGTATATTTGTTCAGATTTCTGGAGATAAAAATTGTAAATAGTTTCAAGTTTACCAATTTGAGTGTTTCAAGTCCTATATATGACTGGGGAATTATGTTATTCTAGGCAAATGACTTAAACCTATCAGGCTTGTTTTCCAACTATGAGTGAATTTTTTTTTTTTAAATGAGACCACAACAAAACCCCCACACATGGGTGTTGATGATTATGAACACAAAGATAGATAATGTTGCTTGCAGTTAGTGGTGGGTATGTCAGAAAACATCAGACCTTTGACTGACTAATGGGTTTAACGAGGTGATAGAAATATGCCCTTAAACGATTTTTTTTGAGAGGCAGAAAGTTGCCTCTAATTATCTGTATAACTGAAGTGGGAAATATTTATAAGTTAGTATGACTATGTAGATAAGTCTGTGTTATGTGACAAATGGTCTTGCTTGCTGACTTTCAGACTTAAAAGCCTGCTTTCGTTTTGTGCCTAAACCAAGTTTAGAACCCAAGTTAAGAGCACTTGCTAAATACAGAGTAAACTTGTTCTGAAAACAATTGCTAGACTCACCAGTATACTGTCATTGCTCCAAATAACTGTTCAGCGTCAGAATATACAGTCTGGGAATATGCATTTTGTTACTTCATCTAGGTGTCAAAGGTTTCGCCCTCTGGCGGACTTCAACTTGTTTCTGACACATTTCTGTAATGGATGAAATGTGCTTATCTTTGTTATGTGAATCAATGTATTTTGTGCTCCTCATACGTGTTGGATTGTATAAGAGATTAAATCGTGATATGTATATTTTGTTGCTTGCATTGGTATGCAACTCATGTAATGTCAGTGCTTGGACTAGCTTAAAACTTCCAACAGATGATTTTATAATAAAGTTGAACTAATGTTTATCAAGAGTGGTTATTTTCAGAGGGGTCGTATAAAACTTGGAACCCTTGAACCTAAACTCCCGTTTTGACCTGCTGTTAGGTGCATTTCCATTATTATCTTTTGCTGTCCTTTCTTCACTCACTCTTCTGTGACATCGCCTCTCTTTCTTTAACCTGTGCCTCAGCTTACCAAGGCAAGTCACAATTCGGACAGAGATCTGATCGTTTCCCAAAGCTGGTGGCCATTGTTATCATTCAGAATAGCCTAACTACATCTTTGATAATAAACACCCCCTCCCCGCCGCCACCCATGCAATGTCATAAACTTCACAGAGGTTTGTATCTCACCCACGGCTCTGGGACACGTACAAGGGGAGCTCCCATCATTGTAGTCACTCAGAGAACACAGGTGACAAAACAACCGTCATTATAGGTTGCTGTTCTTCAAGCTGGGGGATGGGTGAAGAGAGCATGGTATCACATACAGGCTGCTAGAGCTTCCACCTGGAGGGAATACACATTTGCAAACACTTCTCCAGCTAATGCAAATAGTAGGGCCATGCTAACTTCAGGGGCAGGTGAGTACAAAATACTAGGATATGTTAGTAGAACTGAAAATAATTGGTAGATAACGCCAATGATTTCCACATTAAGCAAAAAATTATCTTCAATCCTGCCTTCCTAATAGTATTTAAACAGGAACCATTTTTTCAAATTATTTTTTAAGTTTAGGAATATCATGTCGTGAAAACATTTAGGACTCACACTCTTCACACGTGCTAAGAAACGTGCTCTTGTAATATACCAAGATAAGGCAGAATGAATGCTACATATGTTATTTATAACAATAGAAATTTTAGATGATTAAAAACACGATAGAATAGAAAAGGGAAATCTTGGTTCTTAAAAATTCAGGAGACCAAAACACTTCTGTTCAATGCCAAGCATTGCCAGGATGTGGTGTTTTCTGTAATAAATGAAAATGTCTGACATGTATTTTTGCCTTTGCGCTTTTAACTTCCTTATAATAGCATATATTTACTTTGAAACGCCTCATGTCACTGGATTCGATCAAACTGCCAGAAAACTGAAGTAGTGTTAATAGCACTGGAACAAGATTAAACTGTACTTTTCTTTTTTTCTAAGTGGGAACAGTCCTTTCATTGTAAACCCAAATATGAAGGTACATGAAGCAAGTAAAATACTTGGCTAAAATTAAATCTTAACAATCTTGAGATTTAAGTTGGTATATACTAAAGTGTTCATTAGGGAGTTATTGCATAGAATATCTAGCAGAGCTGTTTTTCTGCTCTGCATAAATATCAACTGAAAGCAATATAAAGATATGAAAAGTGATGATGAGAAAGGAGTTTGAAAGCTTTTATGCTATCAGTCTCATATTTGCTAAAATATATTTTTTTTTTTTAAGAAGGAAGTCATTGGCAGTAGTAC